ATCACACACTGATTCGCCCAGCCCCCTGGGAATGGATGGTTCATACCAGTCACTGAGCCACTCAACCAAAGTGCCACTTTAGCCACTGAACTAAGTAACACAGATGAGGTGTCAAGTATTGTCACTTCAGGGAACGTTAGCCAAAGCTGCTGAAAGACTGAGGCTAAGCAGCTGCTGTGGTAAGACCATGGGGTTTAAGAATATTCACCCCCCTCCCCCCCGGGCACCTAATCTCTTCCTGCAAATACATTAACAAAAATATTAGCAGCAAGTAACGTGTTGGTGTGGGTGAGCGGCTTGGTACGGGAGTAGCTACAGAGTGTGATGGGCTCCTTGTAGGGTGCCTTGTTGGGAGACCACACTGTGCTGCTGTGACAAACCCTCTGCATGTGCTTGCGCCAGCAGTCAGGCACACCGTCCCGACACACACAGCTGCACACGCACCATCACCCTGCCTAGCATCCGAGAGCAGTACCGGCCTGGCTGGTCAATCTGGCCAGTATATGGGTGTAACACCTAGTCCATCTCTCCCTCAGTGTGAAGAGAACCAGGCACATGAGTGGTACATAGGCAGAGATTTTTCCCCAGACACCTTGGCTGTGTCTATATTGGCAAGATTTTGCGCAAAAGCAATTGCTTTTGCGCAAAATCTTGCCGCCTGTCTACACTGGCCACGAGTATTTGCGCAAGAAGCACTGATTTCATACAGTAGAACATCAGTGTTCTTGCGCAAATACTTTGACGCTCCCGCTCAGGGATAAGTCCACTTGCGCAAGAGGCCAGTGTAGACAGGCGGCAAGATTTTGCGCAAAAGCAATTGCTTTTGCGCAAAATCTTGCCGCCTGTCTACACTGGCCTCTTGCGCAAGTGGACTTATCCCTGAGCGGGAGCGTCAAAGTATTTGCGCAAAATCATGCCAGTGTAGATGCAGCCCTTTAGTCAAAGCTCACTAGTTTGGATTAACCCATGAAAAGGCAGCGCTTCAAGCAGCCCAAAGCAGATTATCTAGTAACTAAACTAAATCACACTAGGTAGGCAGGATAGAAATGGGGGAGAGACTTTACTTAACCAGGCTGGCAGAGTTTTAAGGCACAAGCTGCCTTTGCTTTTCAGCTTGTGGTTCCCTGGTTTTCATACATAGGCTAGAGATCTCTTCAGCCTGGCACCGTCCCTTCCCCCTCAGGCATTGGTCCTCAGGGCTGCCCAAGTGTGGTGTGGGGATGTAAGAGTTGAACTGGTTAACTGATAAACATCAGCTTATTGGTTTCTGTTACCCATTAAATGCTGCCCTGAAGGCATGTGCCAGCTCCCAGCTGAAGGCCCCACTTCCAGAGTAGCCGACTGGCACCCCACGCTGTAGGCTCTGCAGGATAAGCCGTATGCTTGCTGGGAGACGCTGCCATGGGTAGTGACGCTTGAGTGGGGCTGGAGTTCATCTTGTGTACAGCCCAAGGAGCACATGAATTGCTACAAGGGCGCACCAGAAGGGAATGAGAAAGAGCTTCTGACTCCAGCCAGGCCCAACCAAGCTCAGAGAGATAATATCTTACAGCCTCTATATAAAACCATGGCACACCCACATCTTGAATACTGTGTACAGATGTGGTCACCACAGCTCAAAAAAAAAGGTATGCTCAAATCTTGAATATTGCATGGAAAAAGTTCAGAAAAAGGCAAATTAGGGGTGTGGAATGGCTGCCACATGAAGAGAAAATAAGACTGGGTCTTTTCAGCTTGAAAAGAGGACTTGGGGGGGGGAGATATGATAGAGGTCTAGGAAATCATGACTGGTGTGGAAAAAGTGAATAAGGAAAAGTTATTTACTTGTTCCCATAACACAAGAACTAGGGGGCCACCAACTGAAATTAATAAGTAGCAGATTTAAAACAAACAAAAGGAAGCTTTTTTCCCCACACAGCCAGTCTATGGAACTCCTTGCCAGGGGAGGCTGCGAAGACCAAGACTTTAACAAAGTTCACGAAAGAACTAGATAAATTCATGGAGATTAGGTCCACCAATGGCTGTTAGCCAGGATGGGTAGGAATAGTGTCTCTAGCCTCTGTCAGAGGCTAGGAATGGGTGACAGGAGAGGGCTTGCTTGAAGATTTCCTGTTCAGTTCACTCCCTTTGGAACATCTGGTATTGGCCACTGTCAGCAGGCAGGATACTGGGCTAGGTGGACCTTTGATCTGACCCAGCCACTATGACTGTTCTTATGTTGCCTGCCACAGGGAACACTGTCAGCCACAAAGGCAACGCTTCTACACCGTTCACAAATGCACCAGTGACTAGCAAGTATCTGCTGCAGACACTGAACTCCCACAAGCAGCTCAACAGGAAATGGATGCTTGTGAATGGGGACGGGTATATCCTTCCTACTGTACTTTATACCCCAGGTTATGGCTGCCCTGGGCCGAGGCCCAACACTAGCACTTCTAGAGCCTAACTCCTCCTGGTGCCTTCACTGAACACTGCAGTGCTGGCACGTTGGCAGAATCCAGCTTTTGTCTGGGGCAAGGCATGTACCGGTGGGAGGACATAAAAGGCGGCTGGTCTCCACCCAGCAGAGCGGCCCTCTGGAATTTCAGCCGATTGTTACACACTGGCTTGTTAGTCTTTAAAGTGCTACCAGACTATTTGTTGTTGAAGTTTTTCCTATTACAGACTAACTCGGCTACTCCTCTGAAGCACGACGTCACTGTTACTCACCAAACAGCAGCTGGTCCCCTCAGAACTGCTGCAGCACATGGAGTTGTGCCAGCCCTGCCCCATCTTGTGCAGAAAAGCTGCCCCTTATCTATAGCTGCTTGGCCGATCACGAGCAACGCCACTGCTGGGAGGTGGAGTTCCCAGCTTGCGTAGACGTACGCATGGGAATGCTGCTGGAGCTAGTGCCTAAAGACAGCAGGGTGGCATGGGTGGGCGCTGGGGCTGGCTGCCCAGGTGTGTACCCCGGGGTGGCGGTCAGACTGTTATTCCTGCAGTAGCTCTCACTGCCACGGCCTTAGTGCTCAATTTTGGGTGCCAGCTCAGAGTACATAGCTCTCCAGCCTGGGAATTGTGCTGTCTGGCTCCTGGGTAGACATGCACTGCACCCCAGAAGGCTCCCAGCACTGTGCTCTCAAACCACGAGAGCCCCCAGCTTAGCTG